TCAGCCGGATGGGTTTAAACAATCCAAGAGGAGAGTCTGACTCGGTAATTGACCATTATCAACAGGAGATGAAGAATTGTGTCTGATCGTCTGCATGCAGTCCAAATAATCACAATATCAAGATATGTGCTAGATAAAATTAGACAAATATTTTGCATGGAATTACATTTCCAATAACAGCTTGGAAGGTTATTGGTAATGACATGTAAAAGCTGCAATATAACAAAAACCCATCCAGATGGAACATTAAATGAAATGGAAACTTCACCTTCATTTGCATTCAAGGTTGTAAACTGAATTATTCATGAACTCAGAGGGGTATAGAGGTCTCATCAAGATGCTTTGATTCAAAAACATTTTACACCATTATCCATTAAAGCATCACATGGGAATATTGCACAAATTAGAAGTCTATAAGTACCCTTTTAAAAGCATAAAAGCTTACACTTTGTCTAAAATAATCTGGTTGTTTTTAATTTCATTCCTAGCGTTTTATTACCATCTAAGCCTACATAACAGAGCATTTTATTTTAGCATTTTCAAAATGATTCATGACACAGTAGTGTCATCAGTGTAACTGAGGCTAGTTGTCCAAAAACCCAATCGTTAAAAAAAAACTTAATTTGGATTATTTCCAGTTCTTTGATGGAGGACATTCCAAATCTTTTTTTTTTTTATTTATTTAGATTGTATTATTCTAAATTATGCACATGCATCATAGACAGAGCATGCCAAATATTGCTTGCAGATGTAATGTATCCCATGCTGTGGTTTTGCAGCATATTAATTTTCACAAAACAAATATAAAAGAAACTAAAGTGGCTCAATAATCGAGCTCATTGGACGTAATGGGAAATTCTTTGGAGAAGCAAATTAAATCCTGCTGAAATCATTATAGCTGACAAATGTCGTGGCAATTACAACAGGTGGACTCCTGCCATTGCTTGCTCTGTGGAGCTCTTAATGGGCTTCTCATAATGCAATGGTTTTTGAAAAGTGTTTGCCTTTCAAATTTATGGGAAACTAGTGTTCAAGAGTATGCATTTCGGGAGTGTTTATGTGCGCGAGTTTACATATTCCGTGGTTTAATCCCAACAAATGCATGTTAAAGGGATAGTTCACTTTGAAAATAATTTTGTAAATGTTTTAGCTTACCTCAAGGGCATCCGAGATGTAGGTGTTTCTGTGTTTCCGCAGTATTTTCAATTTTGATATTTTTAGGTCAAACCGTTCTTGTCTGTTAGTCATATGATGCAGGTCTATGGTCACCAGCTCAAAGAGCATGCACAGAGAAGTCTAAATTAAACATGATTTAATGACTCGTATATGCAAGTACATTGATGGCCTAAGACACGAAACGAGCGGTTTGTGTGAGAAAACAAACAGTATTCCATATACCTCTTGTTACCACAGCCATATCCAAGTGATCTGAGGGCGCAGGCGCTTTGGTCTGCACCAGAAGTGATCTCTCGCGCGGTTGCGGAAAAAAAAATCAAGTTGTCCGTTATACAGGAAATCGCAATGAAAGATGATTTCGATATATATATAAATATTTTTAGATCGTCACATTGAAAGGTAACACTTTTGAAATCTCTGTGTAAACAATGAGTGACATAAACGCGCGACAGATCACTTCCGGCGCTTACACAAACCGAAGCGCCCGCGCCCTCAGATCACTTGGATCATTTTCTCACACAAACCGCTCGTTTCGTGTCTTAGGCCATCAATGTGTACTTACATTTGTAACAAAGACACCTACATCTTGGATTTTTTTTTTTACAAGTTGATGATTTTGTATGAATCTGTACAATATAAATGTACAAAATACAAAAATGTTAATTTTTTTAGGAAAAAAAAAAAAAAGTAAGAATTAACCCCACCCCTAAACCTATCTGCCACTGGGGTGTAAGCAGATCAGACCAACATTGATTAGAATTAGCCACCAATTAGCTTTAAAACATACTGCATGCCATCCTGCCACACACAGCATATAACGTATATATATATATATATATATATATATATATACACAGTATATAAATTTAAAAAAAAAACATAGCACAAAGCAGTTTAAACTGCAGTATGCTGTTATACATGGCCTAAAACATTCCTGCATTGCCATTGAGATGAAATTAGAGTTTCAGATCAATGCACATCATCTGACTCAGACAACACACTTTGTCAGATACGTTTAACACAGTTCTAACATCTTTCCACTGACAGTCTCATCTCGGTTGTGTGTAGTAGCGTGTGAAGAGATTTAGATGCCAGCTAAACCCGCCATCAGGGAACTGCTGAAATTGTCCGGATGAGCAGCAAAAGTTTTCAAACGAAACAAAGCCCAGTTGCAAAAAAATAGCCCCTAAAAATGGTACATTTTTTAGACTCAGGTCTCAGGTGGCACATCAAAACCAAAAAACTAATAAATTAAAATAAAATCATGTCACAAAAATATTTTAAAGACATTGGTAAAGAAATTGTTAATTGAAAAAACATGGGACATTAACAAGTCCCATGTGTGTTAAAATGTCTTTAAAAAGCTTTTTGTGACTTAGTCAGCAAGATATTAACAAATAACTAACTTTCATTTGTTCAGACAATCATGCACAGGTGAACTTTAACTAATTTACAAGCTAGTCAGAATGCGTAACTCCCATTACGAATAGGCCATTGCCAGCGCAACATGCATAATGCAATATCCTAAACATCTCCGAAATAATTCACGAGCAGCAAAAACTTCAGTATAGGCCCCTATACTACTAATATATAATTTACTATACTAATTTAAAGGGTTAGTTCAGCTATTTTCAAAAATGAAAATTCTCTCATTATTTATTCACCCTCGTGTAGTTCCAAACTCGTATGACTTTTCAAAAAGTTCATAAAGAGATTAAAACTAATTCATATTAATCAAGCAGATTAGTCCACATTTTCTGAGACTGGATCGCTGGAAGGCTTTTATTCACATAAACATTCCTCAACTCACATCAGTAATTGTAAAAGGAAACTCAAGCATGTTCGCTTGAGGTGTGAGAACCAATGAGGTTAATTCTCATGTTGTGCATCACGTTTGAGTTTCTACAAGAGGTTTGCTCTCGTGCGTCAAGTAAGTACGGTTGAGCTTCTAGTTATGTTCGATGATCAATGTCCATAAAATCAGTGTGAATAAAAGTCAGTCAAGACTAAAAAAAAAAGTCAAGACTAAAATCAATCTGTACATAATGTAAAGTGATCCAGTCGCATAGAAAAAAATGGACCAACCCACTCAATTAATATAGATTAATGTTACATTATAATAGAGAACATATACAGTAGAGCCCTATTTTAACAATCTTAGCACATGATCTAAAGTGCACAGCACAAGTGCACTTAGGGCGTAAAAGTAAACACTTTTATAGAACCCTTTTCAGTTGGTAAACATGGTGACGTTTTTATGTGGGCGGAGCTTAGGTGGAGGCAGAATGATCCCTCTGGCCGCTTCACTAACGCTAGTTAGCAAGTTTTATTAGCTTGTTTTTTAACAATGACTGGAGAAAATCAGATTTTATCTTAATGTGTAAGGTCACTGATTGTCCAGGACCGCGATTGTTATTTCCAAAAGTTATTTTTAACGGACAAAACCAGATTGGCCGTCCCGTAGCCGCCTACACGCTCACTCAATGCATGGACGACCTGACAGGATTAACGTTACGTTACCTCGGTTGAGTGGCCTGACTTCTACACCTACCCAATAGAGAAACCGATCGTAAAGAGAAACTGAGGGCATATAAATCTATAGATGCCTATATGGTCCTGTACAAGACTTGTGTGTACGATCCGCAGTTCTGCCTAGCCAGCGCAGAGAAGACGACAATGTAAAGAGTGTCATTACGGTGCGATTTTAATCATGTGAATATTTTCAAGAAATAAAAAAATCCAGATACAGCATATTCATTTTTTATTGATTTTTGCACCAAACAACACAATAAGATGACATTTAAAAATAATAAAAGTAATTTAAGCTCCTTATTATGTAGCCAAATCTGTGCTGGTTTGCATTGGCCGCCTCCAGTTTTCACTTTTTTTGCCTCCAGCTAACGCCGTGACGTAACTGTGACGTCGGCGCAAAAAGGGTCTATACACTGTTATGATCTATTAAAGATGACAAATGGTCGGCACATGGTATAAAAGGGTTGTCCCTATTCTCTTAACGGGTGTGTTTAGGGCGTAACATGCAATAAACCAATCAGAGTCTCATCCTCCATTCGCTTTAAAAGTCAGTTATTCGCGCCATGGCAGATTTGCTATTTACATGGAGGAATTTGCAAGTGGAAAGACTGAACGTTTCTCTAGCGAGGAAACGGATCTGCTCGTGTGCGAGGTTGAATGAAGCATGCAAACAGACCAGATTCCACCATATCTTTATGTACACAATGATAATCTTTTACATTGTAATCCTTTTATTTTTAATATTGGGTATGTTTGTGTGCTGCTGTGTGTGTAATAAGCAAAGTGTACGCGTGTTGTGGACCCGCATATTACTAATGCGCCCTTCAAATAACAACTACGCCATTGACTTTAGATCAGGTTTTTGTGGGTCATTGGCGCAGTCCATTTGTAGTTGCCTCTAAATAGCAATGCGTTAACAATGCGCCTGAACAGACCTAGTTTTCAGACCAGCACACCCATGGATGCACAAATGGGCACAAACACATTTGTTATTTAAACAACTTGGCGCAGGACGTGAAAATGATAACTGGCGCCGCATTGAGCAGATTGAGTGGATGAGGCCCTTAATGTGTGATCACGGGTGGGCAAGATTCAGTCTCCTCCAATGATCTGATCTGTTTTATTACCCAAAGGGATTCAGTTTGCTCTACATCTCAGTTTCTAAACCTCCATCCTTCAGTTCTCTATGTATTCCGGGCAGCATGCCGGTTTTGAATGACACTTCAGGGGAGCTGATCCCCGGTTGTAGCACATGTTCCACCCCGACTACACACTGTTCAACAAACACTCACCTAATTCCTGCTTTCCTCTTCTGTCCCGATCCCCCCTACAGGCGTCCTCTCTCGTCTTTTCTCTTCTATCTCTTTATCTCCCACTCATTTGACTATCCTTGCACAGAAATGGCTGAGATGATTTGTATTCATTCTGATATGAGCTCCTGCTCTCATGCTCTCAGAAGACTTGCAAAGAAGGCTGGAGAAGTGTTGGATTTGTGTAATACCTCCCAATGGCTTCTTCCTAGCAGTCTCATATGCCACATTAACAATCCCATTGGCTCTCACGTCAGTCATTGTTGTTTCAATACGGCAGCGGTGCGTGCGCAGCTTACTAAAATTCCTGCCATGGACATTTTCCAGTCGTGATGTCCAGCCAAGGCCTCCCACAGGCTGCTCCCTTCAGGGTTTTCGGCAGCGCTAAGCTGAACAGATAAAACTAATGCACTGCGGCACTTTTATAATACCATTTATGTCACCTAGACATCATTTAAATATATCTATAGAGTTATTTTATCCACTCAGGTAAAGCTCAACCAGGAAACATAGCAACTTGGGCTATATTACAATGCCAGACAGCTTTAAGGTTAATCATATTGGTCCCACTTTATATTAAGCGGCTTTAAGTAGCCTACTGTGTACTTGCATTGAAAAAATAATAATTTGATACAATGGACATGTTTATAAATTATACTTAGAAGAGTGCAGGGCAACCTGTCACTTACTGTACTGTACCTGAGATCCACCAATAGCAAACCTCAACTATCCACCAATAAATTCTTCATGGACAAAATCAAGTCCTGCCTTACTCTTACTCTTACTCTTGCTCGAGAAGTAATTTCACTCACAGGGAAGAAAAGACTATCGCATATGACATTTCATGCTGAATTTATTAATATTAGCACCACAGCATTAGAAATAATGGGTTAGTCTGAAAGCTTAGGCAACCGTCTTGTTGCCCCACCGCCTTATCAGGCAATTACTCTGCAGGTAGTGATTGTGCACAAAGATACTTCAGGGCAGGCAACTGAAGCAGACTCCTGAGCAGAGTAATGGTTTAATGATCGACAACCAAATAGAGTGAGCTTTGGTGATAACTAAGCTAATATTTAATAACTTCAATAGCAATTTCTTTGTAGAAAATGTTGGTCAAAAACGTATATTTACACAAAAACTGACTGCCAACCACAACTTTCAGAAGCCATCTTTAGCTTTTTTATCAAGGAATGGAACGCACAGGATTGTGGGATATCAAAGACATTGAAGGATAGATGCTGCCTTCAATAATCAATCAAAGGACGGTATCTTAGGAGACAGGAAGTGAAGCTAACATTGGATTCGGACGTGCACTGATGCCTTCCTACCTTGGAATGCATCCCCCAAAGGCAGCATTTTTAAGCTTTTAATATTTTACCCAAGTTTGCTGTGTAAATTCAAAGAACATGTCAAAACAAACATGTCTTTCTACTGCTGCCTTCGCTTGCTGCAATAAAAACATAGTGTTACCAGTGATGTGATTCACAAACAAATGAACCTTATGAGTTAATTCATGCGATCCAAAAGTTATACTGCCTTTCACAGTCTTTTATATAAATGCTATTCAAATTGGACCCTCTTTTGCCTTCAGAACTGCCTTACTTCTTCATGGCATAGATTCAACAATGCTGAGAATAATCCTAAGAGATTTCCGTCCATATCAAGCGTGCCGGACAAGCCCTCAAAAGTGAAGCCAAAACGTCTCGATCGCCCCCCTGTGACCGGACCTAGTACAGCTCATAACCCCCGCCTCCCCATGTTATTCAATGGGACGCGAGACCAACTAAACAATTAAATTACACTTCACATATCCTTTTTCCAAAGATAGTTTCTGTCATTTACTGTAGTTTCTATCACGTTGATGTAATTTCAAGTTTTCATTTTTAAAATAAGTTTGTTTTTAGTTAGTTATGTGATGATAAAAACGGTGCTCTGACATCATGATTGACAGCTGTGATTGACAGGTTCTCTGTGCGAGGTAGTCACTGAAGCACCAGCGGACTTTTTTTTAATAATGTTGATTATGTGGTTAATAGTTGTATTTGCCTTATTTTAACGAGGTTCTGCAATCAGCAGACATCATTGTAGAAGAACGAAGCAGACAGAGGACACTTAATGAAAGTGCGGGACGTGTGCTTGCGTTTGATTCAGCGAGTATGAGGGCGCGGCCTTGATTTCGCGGCTTTACTTCCTGCTCACGACTGCGCATGACTGGTCCCGAAACACGCAAGTGCGCAGACTCAAGTTCCAAGATGTCAGCGTCATATCGAGACACTGGCGGCTTCAGTTCTCTCTGATGGAAAAGAGCGAAGGGGCGTCGTCCATCTTTTTTTACAGTCTATGGTCCATATTGACATGACATCATCACGCAATTGCGACAAATTTGTCGGCTGCACATCCATGATGTAAATCTCCTGTTCCAGCACATCTCAAAGGTGCTCTATTGGATCTGGTGACTGTAAAGGTCATTTGAGTATAGTGAAATAGTTTCAACAGTTTATTGGCGTGTTATCTATACGCATATTGAGCTATCCGCATGTATGCGTGTAGATCTACATCTGGGGGGCGATATTTTTTTCCTAGGATGTTAGGGGAAGACTCATAAATGCTATTAACCCCAGTGACGGGTAGGTTTAGGGACGGGGTTGGGTTAGGTCATAAATTTATATATACAGTAATGTAACGTTAAGTCAACGGCGTTCATAAACACGCCGAAAAGCGATTATGCGTGTTGATAGCACGGCAAAAATGGAAATACTAATTGGCGTGTCATACATACGCCATTTCATGAGATCAGTCTGCATAGTGACATGGGGCGTTATCCTGTTGGAAGTAGCCATCAGAAGATGGGTACAGTGTGGTCGTAAAGGGATGGACATGATCAGCAGCAATACTCTGGAAGGATGTGACGTTAATGCTCACTTGGTACTAAGAGGCCCAAAGTGTGCCAACAAATGGCAAAAGACGTGCAGATGCAGTTTGAGGACAGTAGAAATATATTTGTCCTGCAGTAACATTACACAGAACAAGCCCACAAATAATTCATGTCTTCTCAATTCGAGCCTCTAGTGGCAGAATGAATACTATTCTGTGCAACCATATTGTGGTATGTATTAAGTAGCACTGTGAAGGCAAAAGTATTGTTGCAACCATTCGATTATTTTTTTTTCCCGATCCACCACACTTATAATCAATTTCTTCTTTGCTCCTTTTAAACAACCAACCTATTCAATTCTCATTTAGAAGTTAATACGGTGTATTATTTGTCAAAGAGTTGCAAGTGCCCCTTGAATGAGTTCTATAACAAAATAAATGGCTCATACTGAAACAGCAGCATTCAGTGAGAAGGATCAGCTTGAGAAAAACAACCCTTTATGTTCCCAGCCTTGACTGACGGAGTGTATTCTGCAGGATATCTGCAGTCATTCCTCGGCTGTTCCTTGCCATCCATCACTTTAATTTAATTATTGCATCCAGTAACCATGTGACACCACAGGTTACACCATGCTGAGGCTCACCCCATGAGACCAAATTTTTTTGCAATTAAGGAAATCATATGCATGTCGTTTTAATAATGTGGGTCGCAGAGTCGTTCGTGACCCTGGTGTAGACTGAACAGCAGCTAATTCCAGCTCAAAATGAGCAGCCAAGGAAATAACAGGTCAGTTCGGCTCTTACCTCGTGTTTTATTCCCGCCGGCATCGGTGAGAGAATGATCCAGCCTTACGCTTACCGCAAATAACGAATGCAGGGCAGTGCTGGCTTATTTGTGCATTGGTGTGTGAAGATGATTAGCTAATTACACAGTCAAGCCCTTCCCTCATTCAGAGTTCAGATGGACCCTCATTACTGGCCATTAAAGACCGTGAATGAGGCCGATAGTTTAGATTAGCACCTCCAGAAAGTGTACATTAACAACATGGCCACAGTGGCTGATGTCCTTGGCTAAAAGGGTGTTCTGTAGACAGACTTATGAAATATGGAGCAAAGTATGCTTAATTTTTTAACGTCTGAACAATAAATATTACATTTAGCAATTTGTCTTAAGGGTTGCACTTACATCATGTATTCCTGAAAGAGGATGGAAATGGAGAGGCAGATCCACTCATTTCTAATGTATAGTACATGTCCGATGGATATATGATGAGTTTGGATGTCAATCAAAACGTAATTTTGTTACATCTCTTACATCTCTGGAAAAATGTATCTAAAAATATACTGATCTAGCTGTATGATCTATTACAGTATCCATCCATCCATCTTAACTAATTAAAAATGGTAAATAAAAAAAGTTTCTAAGCATATAACATGTGAATATGTGTGCATAAACATTTCACTCATTTGGTTAATAGGCTCATCAAGTAATTAGACTGCTCAAAATGTAACTGATTGACAAACCTATTTCCTTAAAATGACTACTTAGCTCCCAAAGTTGCTTTTCTTATATTTAAAGAAGAACCGATCGGTGCCAATCATTGGAGTCAGTGTGTGCTCATCTCGCCACACTCTCTCTCCACCTTTGCTCAGTTAACAGGCTGTAGATTACACACGTCAGTGCCCAGCGCTCATCCACCTGTCGGTTTCCTCTAGCCCTGGCAGAACACCTGTCACCCGCGGGATTAGCATCACGCTACGGCTGTTTAAGATGGAGGTCACAAAGGCGTACGGCACTGGCGGGAGACCCGGCTGCCCTTCCACACCACTCGGAAAGCTTCTTTCCAGGACCTGATGTTGTCTCTCTCTGCATGGCGTTCCAGCATTGATCCAGTTCCTCCTCCTAATAGCTATAGATCTCAGGCCCAGCTCTAGGGGCCAATGAGAGCAAATATGCGTGTAAAGAGGTTTACAGACACTCAAACCGCGACACAACACATGCCATAAACTCAATGAGCCTTTCATCAACTTTCACTTTATGTATTCTGCTGCCTGCAAATCCATATTGAGATTGAATAAGTAGTGATCATTTTAATCTATCTATCCATCCATCCATCCATCCATCCATCCATCCATCCATCCATCCATCCATCCATCTATCTATCTATCTATCTATCTATCTATCTATCTATCTATCTATCCATCTATCCATCTATCGATCATCTATCTATCTATCCATCTATCCATCTACGGTATCTATCTATCCATCTATGATATCTATCCATCTATGGTATCTATCTATCCATCTACGGTAGGTGTCTATCTATCCATCTACGGTAT